AAAAAAAAAAAAAAAGAAAAGAAAAAAAATCAACTCACTGTCAGTACTGAGAAGGGATTTGGGTGCATGGGCACCTGGCCTCCAGGAGCCACTGGGCTGTAGATTGGTATCAGGATCCATTCGGTTTTTAACCCAAACTCAGTGCATTTTTAAAAAGTTAGAAATTACAAGATAAGGAGAACACTTGAACACACAGGAGACTATGCCTAGTGTAGGTTTTGCAGTTCAGCCTGAACACTGATCATCAGATCGGCTGTTGCACTGGGCACACAAGACGTGACGAACAAACGCCATCCACTGCATGGTCAAAGTAGAGGCCCTGTGGCCTGCCTGTCTTTGTGGGTCACCTGCATTCCCCAGCGTGCTTGTACTCATGTTCACACGGTCCCCCCAGGGTGGGCTGGGAGGGCTGTGACGGGTGTGGGGACCAGCCTCCCCTCGCGCAGTGCAGCTGGAGTGGTAGCCCCTGTCCTCAGGGCCCACCCAGACACGTTGGCCAGAGCCCGGGTCTCACCAGCAGGAGCGCCTGCAAGCTGGGTCGGCCGGTCCATTCCAGACCTCCGTCCCGGAGCACCCCACCTCCATGTGTGAAGCAGCTTCCTCCCTCAGCCTGTAAGGGTCCGATTTGCCATCAGAAAAAACGACCTCTACTTTTTTCTTTTGTATTTTGATAAACACTGAAGAAACTGGAGCTGTTAAATTTATCTTGGGGAAACTTCAGAACTGGTTTATTTGGTGTTGTGGAACCTCTTACTGCTTTCAATACACAATTAGTAATCAACCGTTTTGTATACTTGTTTTCAGTTTTCATTTCGACAAGCACTGTAATTATAGCTATTAGAATAAAGTCTCTTAACTATTTCACAGGCTCTCCAGTGTTTGTGTCGCCAGGTTGCCTCCTGGGAAGTGGACAAGGCGGGAGGAACTGCAGGTGGCCTCAGCCCTGGACACCCCTGCTGTCTAGGTCAGGCCTCATGTGCATGAGAGAGGAGTCAGTGAGTGCTGTGGGGCCTGTGCTTGCCTTACATCTCTGTGCAGGAACACTGCCAGCCACAGGGTACTTTGTGTAGCAGAGTTAAGGACCCCCCCCACACACACACATCCCTTGGTGGTGATGGCCACCAAGGTCAAAGTCTGCTCTCCTCTGAAGGGTCCCAGCCAGGTGGATGACCTGCATCTCAGGCCTGAGAATGAACAGCATTCTCTGCTCAGGCAGGCTGAGGTCAGTGAAGAAGCCAAGGCAGGCCTGGATCTCCGGGTCTGCCCTAAGCCACACCCGACACTTTGTTTCTGCTAGAATCAAGAGCAAAATAACACAGGAATCAAGCCCACTTGTGGCTTTCACCTGTGCTGCCCAGGAAGGAGCTGGGCTGGTCTTCACAGGCAGGTGGAGGTGCCCGGAGCCTCCTGGTATACCCCTACCTCAGCCAAGACTGCTACTGCTGCTGGACCTTGCCTGTCTGCCTGTAAGGTGTTCCAGGTTGACAGGGCTCTCATCCCCAGGCCCACTGGGCACTGGACCGTCAAGACCTTGCCTGGCCATACACAGGGAGGACTTGAAATCTAGGATGTGTAAAATCACCATGGCCCAGCCAAGACAATATGACAGCCATGGAGGCCCTGGACCACTATTACCCTCCTGGTAGGCTGCTTTTGTAACTCCACTCGGACCTCCCACTCAGTATGATACGTTCTTTTAAAATAAATTTATTTAAGTATAAAGTGAGTTGATATGAAAAGTAACCACCTGGTCATCGCTAAGCCTCAGAGGAAGCCTGAACCACTGCAGCCACAGATAAGACAGCCTCCTGTGCAGACTAACCTTCACTTGGTGGCAGGGCAAGACCCAAGACCTGGAGGGGTCTCCACAAAGCCACTTCACCTCTGCTTTGAGCCTCCAGCTGGCCCCAAGGCCTAGCAGGCAGCTGCTCATCCAGACAGGTGCTCCTGAGGGTAAACCCCGAAGGCGATTAAGGTGGGGTAGCTGCAGTCACTCGGGATCCACAGGGCCCGGTCCTCCCAGAGCCCAGTGGTGCGCCAGGTCCCAGCTTGGGGCAGCAGGGGCTGTGGGGTCCAGCAGCTCAGCCGCAGTCTCAGGCATCACAGCCTCTGTCCTGCTGTCTGTGTGATGGGCTTCTCCCACTGTCCCCACCATGTCCCCACTTCGACCTCTTGCAGCAGGGGGAGGAGGAATCAGAATCATGCCGGCAGCGCCCAGGCCTGGGTTAAGGATGGCCAGACACTTAGAGGAAGGACCTCGGGCAGGCAGCCCCAAACCCTGCCAGGCCATGCTTCAGAAGCCCCGGGGCCTTCCTCAGGCCTACCAATCCTGGGACCCCCAGAGCCTCCCTTGGGACTGCCTGCCCATCCCTCCAGCCCCAGGAGCCCCCAGGGCTGGCCTGGGCCTACCGATCAGGAGAGGGAGACGAGGAGGCATCAGCCTCCCTCCGGTGCTCTTTGTCTTTCCTCTTTTTCTGTTTCTTGTGTTTTTTCTTCTTCTTTTTCTTCTTTTCCTTCTTGCTTTTCTTGTGGCTCTCAGTACTGAAAAGGGGAGAGACAAAGGGCTTCAGCCCTGACCCTGGGGATGGGAGACAGCTGACAGCAGTCAAGGCAGCCATGCTGTGCAACATGGTAGCCAGTGAGAATGTGGAACTGTGAAGCGGAGCTGCTCACTTAGTAAATGACTTAACACTCCAGTGTATTTCCAAGTACTACACACTCCCAAATGGCAGGAGATGCCAGGAGGGACTGCAGAGATAGAACGCCTGTCAAAGCAGAAAGCTCCATTTGGCTGTGCCAACCTGGGGGTCTCGCAGCCCCTTACTGTTCCACCTGCCACCAAGCGGGTCAGATCCTGACCCATCTGATCCTGACGCAGAGTGACTAAGTCCGGCCTGCATCCAACACCACACAGTGCCCCCTGCCCCTGGGCAGCCTACGGCCAACCACACACAGCGAAGCTCCCAGGGCTGTGGCTTGCCTGCCCCTAGGCTGCTTCCCCACCCGAACCCCTACAGTGAGCCACCCCTAAGCACTGTCCCCAGCCTCAAAGGCCCTGCCCCCAGGGCAGGCCTTGGACACAGCGCCCCCAGGACATTTTTCAAGAAACAGGAAGGTGCAGGCAGGACCAGCAGCACAGGTTAAGCTCCCAGCCCCAACTGCAGGCCTGGAGCCTCCATCCGAGGACGACCTTACCCGGGCTCAGCCTTGTCCTCCGCGCGTGGCTTCTTCCTGGCGGCGGCTGCGGCGGCCCCCGGGCCACCACTGTCCACGCGGTGGTGCTGAGAAAGGAAACAGGGCTGGGGGGCGGGGGGCAGGCTCGGGAGTCCTCCTGGCCCTCCCAGACCCCACCCCGGGAACTAGCGCATGGGCCCGGCGGAGATTACCGTGAACACGGACAGCCCCAACTTGGCGGCCTCCTTGTCTTCCCGGGACAGCACCACGCGGCCCGCGGAGCCACTGCGGAGACAGGACGGTGAGGCCCGGACTTCCTCCACTTCCCCCGCCCCGCCCCGCCGTGCCGTGCCGTGCCGTGCCCGGCCGCACCTGGCGCTGCCCAGCCCCAGCAACCGGTCCACGCCCTTCTCCTCGGGGTCTCCGCCCTCCCGCTTGCAGATCTCCACGAAGTCCTGTAACGAGGCGCACAGCGGGCTCGGGCTCGCGGAGAGACGCCCCGCCCGCACCCCGCGCCCGCGCCCCGGGCCCCGCCGACTTGCCTCCTTGCTCAGGCCGGTGGGCTGCCTCCTCACGTTCTTGTAGCCGCTGCAGGGCCGGAAGGGGGCGTCAGGGGGCGTCAGGGCGGGTCTCCCGCCGCCCTGCGCCCCGCGCCCCGCGCCCGCGACACTCACAGCGCGGCCAGTAGCGCCTCGCGCTCCGCCTCTCGCACGGCCGCCAGCTCCTCCTCGCGGCTCGGGCCTGCGCACGGCGCGCGGCCCTTGGCGTACCAGGTGAGGTCGCGGCCCTTCTGCCAGCGCCCCACGGGCGCCATCAGCGAGTTTCCCAAGTAGTTCTCTCTCTGCTTGTCGGTCTTCACGTCCTCCCAATTGAACTGGTCCTGCCCGCCACGGACGCCGCCGCGGCTGGAGCCGAACATGGCGCCGGGGCCGCAGGAGGACCACGGACGCTCCCGACTTGCGCTGCGGGGGAGAAGGCCCCACCCGGCCCCGGCTGCGGAAGCTCGCTCTCCGCGGCATGACGTCACGCCCGCGCCGGTGCGCGCCTGCGCGCTGTGGCGCCCCAGCCAGCGAGCCACCCTTCCAGGCTCCTTTCGGTAAAGCGGGTCCTAGCTCGTCTGCGCAGCCCACCGCCCCACCCTTCCTGCGGGCCGGTTCCGCGGACTGTGGCCCCGTGCGCTTGCGCGTCACACCCACGCGGCCTTGAGCCCCTGCGCTTTGCTTCCTTCTCTGGCCAGACCGCGACCCTGCACGCTGGGCCCTCAGCCCGCTCGCTCGCGTGCCCCCCCATCCCCTCCGTTCTCTCTGGTTGAACGCCCCGAGCAGGCAAAGGCATGGAGGGTGCTGTCCGAGGGTCACGCTTCTACGGCGCCTGTTACCTTTGGAATTCCGCCGTGCAACAGTGGCTGGGCGGTCACCGTGGGCAAGCAGGGATGAGGTGCTGCATACCCAGGAAAGCAGACGTCCAAGGACCCGCGCCAGTCCTGCCGTCCTGTTTGTTTTGCGATATTGGGGATTGAACACAGGACCTTTCCATTCAGCTGTATCCCCAGCTCTGTGTGTGTGTGTGTGTGTGTGTGTGTGTGTGTGTACCGGGGATTGAACTCAGGACTTTGCAGTTTTGAGGCAAGTGCAGTGCCACTGCGCTAAATCCCGCACCTCTCTCTCAGCTCTTATTTTTTGAGGTAGGGTCTCACCAAATTGCACAGGCTGGATTCGAACGTAGGATCCTCCTGTCTTAGCGTCCCAGAGAGCTGCAGTCACAAATGTGAGCCACTACGCTCTGCCTTTTAGTTCACTGCAGCCAAGTACAGCTAGCGTTGGTGGTTAGTGAAACGATACACACCCCACCCCCCACCCCACCCCCGCATCAAGTAGATGAGGTCACGGGAGAAACACACAGGTCAATCACTGAGGGCACCAAGCAGCAGAGCCTGGCACAAAAGCAAAGATGAAGGCCCAGAAGCCCCACCGAGGAGGCCCTGAACCTCTTCCCAGGAACAAGGGCCGGTTCTCGGCAGGGAGCTGGTGACAGCCAGCCACTGGGCTGGGCGCTGGTATGCACTTTGCTGATGAGCATTTAGGGGCGTTTTTCCTCACAGGCAACGGCAGAATAGCAGCTCTTTGAAGGCGCGCCTGACAGGACCAGGTAGCACCTGTCACACACGATTAGGATCCTGAGGAAAACAAGCTAGTGCATTGCGCACCACCCACCAACACACAGCAGCCCAGAGGCCTCTGCACTCAGGGGCAGAGAGTACCCCCGCTTCTGCAAGCACTGTGTCCTTGAAATTCATGACTGAAACAATGCCAGCCACAGGTTCAGCGAGATAAAGCACATCCAGAGCGATGAGGAATTACTGCTTATAAATTACCTAGGCTGTGGTACTTTTCTTTCCCCCATAGTAGTGGGGATCAGACCCACGGGTGGTCCACCACTGAGCTACATCCCCAGCACCTTTTTGAACTGGTTTAAGCTGCCCAGCCTGGCTCTGAACGTGGGTTCCTTGTGTCCATGGGGCAGCTTTTTAGAGAAGGGCTTGTGAAGAAAGGGGTGGGAGCACCAACTGCAGCCCATGGCCTGAAAGTTGTGCACCCCAGAACATCCAGCTCCTGTCCCCTGCTGGCTCAAGTCAGGAGCACTGCACCCCCAGCTGCTCCTGAGGCTGCTGGACCTCCCCACCAGCCTGTCCCTGTGCACCACAGCCATGCAGCAGTGTCTAAAACCCACAAGTTGGAGCCAAACTGATTCCAAACCCCTGGTCTGCTGGGAGCCCCAGAGGCTTGTCTGGCTCTGAGCTGGTGCTTCTCAGAGATGACGACCTGTAGCCTCAGCACACATGTAAAGGAAGACACTGACAGGAGCTGGTGACAACAGAAACATGTCATTTACAGGAGATGCTCCTCTGTCCTCACAGTGTCCCTAAAGCAACTTCAAGCCACAATTACTTCTCGGTCCCGGTCCAAAACCGCCTGTAACGCTCAGTGTCAAAGTCATCAGTGAGTTCTGGCTCCTCCTGTTTCTTGTGGAGCTGGGCCTCACGCTTCCGGAACCTGGCCCGGCGCTCCTCGGGGGACAGGGTGTCCAGGTCCAGGGGCATCTGGAAGGAGAGGCCAATGTGTGACAGCGCAAGGAACAGAACTACCGAGATGGCTCCCTGGGCCTTGCCCTCACCTGATGGCTTCTATCGCCTCTGCTCCTTTTTTTTTTTTAATTATTGGTCTTTCTCTCCCTTCAAAGCTTTTTCTGTACTAAGAAATTTTTTTGTTTCTTCCAGAGTTAGTTTTTTAAAAACACTGACTCATTCATTCTATCTGAATGGCACTTGGAGGAGTTACAGGTCAAAACCCCGCTCCCCTCCGCCTGCAGTACAGCTACCCGGAGCCCAAGTCTGGTGGCTGTGAATCAGCCTCCCACAGGACACCAGGGAGCCCCTGGCAATGGACACTTACTGCCAGCATGCGCCTCGGCTCCCGGTAGCGGATGTGAATGGTGGAGCCATCTTGCTTGACCAGCAGCACTGGGTAGAGGCGTGGGTAGGCCTGGCGGTGCAGGCGAGTGAATGCAGCCCTGGTGCTGTCTGCCCAGCTAGCGGAAGTGTGCAGGCAGTGGGGCCTGCATGCAGCTGCCTTCACAGTGCTCTGCCCCAGCAAGCTACAGAAAACAGGCACTGGTCATGGAGGGTGCTGAAACAGAGCACCCCACGGGGCTGGGCCGGCCCACCATCGGGCACAAGGGAGGTGCCAGCAGAGATCTGGTCATCCACAGCTGGGATCCCTAAGGGCTACAGGTCCTGGCAAAGCAGCTCTAACCCCACAACCAGAAGAGGCCACAGTGGTGATCATGGGCACAACTCCTCTGGCACTGAGGACAGGGAGGACAGCCCTGTCTCGGGCAGATAGTTTCCTGGGGTGGGCTGACAAGAGTCCTGAGGGCTGGGAATCCACTTACCCAAGCAGGCTGCCCGAAGCTGCCATTCTCCCTCCGGCCCTGGTCTGGTGCTGGCCCTAGTGTGCAACCTGCTGGGCAAGGAAAGAAATCTCCCCCCCACCACCACTTAATTCATCCTCATGAAATCCTGGCCAAAACGTCGCAGACCCAAATATATCAAATATTTCTCTGACACACACGGAGCTGTCCCTCAACTGGATACCAAAATCCACGGACCCTCAAATACAGTGCTGTAGTTCACCACCTGCACAGAACCTGTGTTCATACTGTGATATACTTTTTAAGTTTTATTTTATTTTTTTGGTACCGGGGATCAAACTCGGGTCATTGCACTTGTGCAGCAAGCGGCGAAACCACTGAGCTAAATCCCCAGCCCACTCTCATATACTTTTAAATTGTTTTGAGACAGAATCTCACTATGTAGTTCAGGCTGGCCTCAAACTTGTGATCCTCTTGCCTCAGCCTCCCAAGAGATGGGATTACAGGTGTGCACCATTTCCATATACGTTAGTGTGTAATACCAAATAGCAGGGAAATGCTACATAAATAAGTTATACATATTGTTTAGGGAATGAAAATTTTTGTAAATTTCAGTATTTATTTATTGGCCGAAGATCTAACCCAGGGCCTCATGCAGGCCAGGCATTGAGCCACACCCCCTCCCATTTAAAAAAGTTATCTTCAATCTGTGGTTGGTTGAGCTTTTGCATACCGAGAACCAAGTGTAATCCTAGTTCACTGGCCCGTTGGGCTTCTCTGGTTGATAACTCAGCCATTTGAGGCTGGGCCCAGACCCGCCTACTGCGGCGGGTTTCAGATTCGGGAAGGCCCGCCACCGTGTAAACTGGAGCTCACTGCCTACTCTTTAAGATCGGGCTAATTTTCATAAAAACTGGGCGAGGCGAGGAGCATCACGCCTGCTCACAAAAGCGTAAGCCTAGGCTGTCTTTCCCACACCCCCAATTCTCAGGAGTCTGCGCGCTGGGGTGCGAGGTCTCCACGAGACCCGACTGCACGAGTGGGCGCGCGGTTTGCCTCCGGCGGTCAGATCTGACAGAGAGGGGATCCAGGGGAGTCCTCCGGCTGCTCCCTGGCCGGGCCTACGACCTCCTGCTCCCAACCCCGCAGGTACCGGCCAGGGCCGCTCGCGGCGCGCGAACCCACGCAGCCCCGCGCCCCTCCTCCCAGCCACCCTGCGCGGCCGCGCACCTCCTCTGACCTGCCCCCACCCGAACGCGACTAGGACCTGAGACCCAAGCGCCCGAACACCCACTGCACAGGCTGGGAACTGAGGCCTAGGAGGGACCACTCCTGGCCCGATCACCTACAGGCTGTCTCTCTGCGCTGACGTCCTGGAGCGCGACGACTGCAGGACCAGGGCTTCCACGGGGGCGGGGCTTATGGGCCTGGAGGGTGGGCCCGCGGGGCGGGGCAGGCGGGAGCTACGCCACGCCCCTGCCAGGCAGGGCCGGAACCAGGCTGAGGCGGACCCAGTGAAGGGGGTGGGCCCGGCGGGGGGGCGCTGTATGCCGAGGGGGCGGGGAGAGAGACCGGAGTGGGCGGGGCCGGTGGACTAGAGGCGGAGCGGGGCCGGCGGGTCGCTGTGACATCCCAGTTGGGCGCGGCTTGGTGACGTCAGGGACCGAGGCCGGCTGGTCCCTGCAGGGTGGGCGGAAAGAAGGCTTCGGGCGCTACGCCGGCCGGAGCCGGAAGCGCGTCTTGGGACCGCCTCCAGCAGCGGGGCTGGGACCCGAGAGCCCTCAGGAAGAACCAGGCGGAGCTTCCTGTTACGGGAGGCGGGGTAACTTTAGGGACCTGATCCTGACCCACGAGGAAGAACGGCTGCAGCTCTGGGCAGCAGAGTACAGTCTGCGTTGGTGGCAGTCCTGCGGTCTTGAGCAAGGGTTGCAGCATCCGTTTAGGAACATGGGGCACTGTGGTTTTGCTTGGGTTTGACCCGAAGCTGTTAACTAACTTCTCCTATCTCCTGTCTTCCATCCCCTGGCCTTATAACTCATCTTAGGACATCTTGGGATTTGCCTCTAATTTGCAACCACACCTTCCCACCTCAGCCGCTTCTGTGAAGACCCTCTCCTGAGAGCAGCCAGAACCACCGAGGATCACGAGTGCCCCGCGTGTGTCCGGCCCCTGTAATGGGTGGTATTTGTTTCAAAACAGCTTCCTCGCTTTTCCTCCCAAGAGCTATTGGCGAGCTTCCCAGGAGTTTTGTACCCTGGTGGGTGGACCTGGATACCACATCTGACACTCAGTCCCTGGAGCTCCTAAATCACATTCACGCTGGGAACTTCTGGGTTTTCTCTGACAATATTGGGCACACTTGTGTAATTCCAGCACTAGGGAGGCTGAGGCAGGAGGATCGCCGCGAGTTAAGAGGCCAACTTTGGGCACATAGTTTAAGGCCAGTCTGAACTACACAGCGAGATCTTGTTACAGAAACAACAGCAACAAAAACACAAAGCCATGGGGCACTCTGCGTGCAAAACTACTTGAAGCAGAGAAATGTCTAAGCTTCAGTGCACTTTGATTTCAGTGAACTGCCTCAACATACAAGGCTGTAGAATTTTTTTGATTCTTGGGTTCCACATAAAGTGGACCCTGCGGGCCAATTTGATACAGGGACTGACACTGAAGGATTGTAAGGAAATGTTGGGCTTCACCTTTTGCTCCTTTCAGGAATCAGTGTTGGTTTGTGTGGTATGTTTTGTGTGTCATGCACAGCTCCAATTTGGTTCTGGATTGCAGCCTATTAGACTCTATCCTGCAGCACTGGGCTTCAGTTATGAGCCTATGAAAAGGAAGCACCCCCCCCCATGTTGCTTAGGAGAAAAATGGCCTGTAAACAGGACTCTTAAGTTACTATACCATCTGACAGAATAATTTTGTAAGAGACAAGGGAAATGAGAAGTCGCCCACACATAAGCCTTCATGTTACTTTGTGAAAATGAACCTGCTGAGCACAACTGGGAAATCGTGACCATGACAAGCCAAGCAAGTCAAGAGACAAGGTGCTGAGACAAGGAAAATGATTTTATTCCAAAAGCCAGCTAGAGAAGATAGAGGAGTCCTCACAAGCCTACCTTGGAGGGAAGTTAACCTGGGGATCTGGATAAGCAGTTGATGGTACTGCCACTGGTAGGGTTCTCCTCAGAGTGGAGCCAGAGAACACACATCCACTCCTTATTGCCTGGTCATAAGACGTTTTTCAGTTTCTGTAAATCTCAACATTTCCTTGAGCCACTCTTGTCACCAGTATGTTCCATACTACACAATGAACAGGCCAGAGCAGGGCAGCTGTCCAAACGCGGGGAACTATGGGTTGACTGCGACAATGCTTGCCGAGAAAGATATTGTAATACAGCCACCATATAATGCACTCACTAGAGCAGGATCTTGGAAAGCCCTGCCACACCTCCTGCTCGCCTCCCCCATTTCCCTTCTGCTTATGTAATTATGCTTAGATTGATGACTATTTCCCCAGCAACTGTGGTTGCTGATTCCCCCTCCTACAGAAACATAAAGATATAAAAATGAGAGTAAACTTCTGTTCAATGCTTTCGAGGTGATTTGAATTCCTTGAAGCTGCCAGCTAATCAAAGCTGATTTGCTCCTTCTCTGTGTGTTTGGTGGGCTGTCCGGGGATGCCTCCAGCAATCATGCTTCAGCCCCTTTGCTTACTGGCAAGTTCATGGCAGTGATCACAAATATCCATACTGATTGACTCAATGCTTCCATAGGCAAAAACCCTACGACCTAAGCCTGTCCCTCCTTAAGTAGAACAGGAGAAAGTTGAAGAAACTATATGCTCTAAATCTATCAATGGCTCTTACACAAGCTCAACAGGAGCTACGGCCACAGTGCCTCTTATGGGAGCAAACAGCAAAGAAAGTCATTTCAAAGGAGGGAAACATCGGGAATTGTCACTCTCCCTCCCATACCCATCAGGGTACCCAAGTGGGCCAGGGTACTGTGGGTTCCCAGCCAGAAGATACACACATTGCCAGTTCACCATTGGAGGACTGAATGTGAGTGGAAAGCCAGCTGGAACAATTTGAATCCATTCCCCTTTCTGAGCTTCTGATTTACCTAACTGTAAAAATAATGGTCCTTCATACCAGGGAACCCCGCCCACATGGAAGATTTGTCTACATTTTTGCTTTCTGATGCCCCCACGGGCTGATATTCAGGCTCTCTGAACAATGCCTGAAGAACCCTGAATGGTTCTTGAGAAAGCAGGAGAGGAAGCCCAACCACTCCATCTAGTGGATCCAATGCATGGTGCTTGATGAGGCAACCACAGCAGTCCCTGTGAAAGAACCCAATTGGGATGAAGATGCTGGATTGCCTCATCTCAAAATTATAGTTCAAAATGGGGTCCTTAAATTAAAGTGTCTTTTTTTTCTTTTTGAGAGAGGGTCTTGCTATGCAGTTCAAGCTGCCCTTGAATTCACTATGTAGCCCAGGCTGGCTCTGAACTCTCATCCATCCTCCTGCCTCAGCCTCCTAAGTGCCGGTATTACAGGTGTGTGCCACCACACCTGGCAGAGTCTTAACAAAACCCAGGAGGTTAAATAATAACCACAGGAGGGGCAGAGGGTTTAGCTCAGTGGTGCCGGCACCAGCCAGCCTTGCAAGGGATCCTCCTGGTACTGGAAAACAAACAAAAACCACAGGAGGAGCCAATCCTGGTGGTACACAATCTATAATCCCAGAGACTCAACTCAGGACACTGAGGGAAGAGGATCCTAACTTTGAGGCCAGCCTAGGCAACTATGCAAAATTTTCTCAAAAATAAAAAGGGCTGGGCCAGGGATTTAGCTCAGTGGTTCCGCTGCCTGCCTTGCAAGCACAAGGTCCTGAGTTTGATCCCTGGTACCAAATAATAATAATAATAATAAAATAAAATAAATAAAAAGGGCTGTAGTGTACTTGACAAGCATGCGTGAGGTCCTGGGTTTAATTCATAGCACCACACACCCAAAATATCACCTCAGGAGGATCCTCCAGAACTCTCGGGCATGTCCACTGGGAACCCTGACACCAGGTGGACCCCAATCCTGAGGCTCCATGATTTTCACCAAAAATGGTGAATGTGACTTTCAGCCAAAATGCTCCTGATAAAGAAAGGAAATTACAAAAGTGCATAGTGCTGTAGGAATGTTTACTTCACAGCTAGTAGAAATGGCTCTTACAGTTTACAGTAACAGGTCAAGACCAGGATGTGAAGAAGCAACAAAAAATAAAACAATGGACTTCACTGGTTGTAGCAGCGTTCATTCAGAAAGCCTGAGGGGAAGTAGAAAGGATTATGAGACAAACCCAAAGGAAGTAAGCAAAAAATCACCTCCCCCCGCCAGGAAAAAACTATGGCTGCTAAAAGGACCCTGAGAAGTTGCCCAAGCTGGTGTTGAACTTGTAATACTCTGGACTCAGCCTCCCGAGTAGCTGGGATTATAGGCATGCAGGCCCAGCTAAGAATGTTGCTTTAAAGGAAATAGTTTATTTTGAGTTTGTACTATCTGAGCAGGACTCATTCAAACTGATTTGAATGAGTAATGTAAGAACAAAAGGAGTTGTAACAACTTTTTTTTTTCGTACAGGAATCAAACTCGGGACCTTTTGCTTGCTAGGCAGGTGTGGTGACACTGAGCTACATCCCCGGCCCTTGTAACCACTTTCATAGGCAGAGAACAAAAGCAATTCTAAACCAACACTGAGTGGATACACTGGTGGGAGTGTTACAGACATAGGTTAAGGTGAAGTTGGGGACTTCTGACCATTGGCCTGAGATGCACTCTTAGCAAGACTGGTCACGACAGGGGTTTGCTCGTCATCAAACTACAAGTGGCCCATGCGACTAACTCACATGGTGAACCAAACTGGCCAACAGGTATGTTGGGAAGGTGGACTGCAATGAAACAAGGCCCCAAGGTGATTCACTGAGGGTGCGCACAGGGAAAAGGCCATCTAGGGGACAAGCACAGATGAGACTGAGCACAAAAACGCGCTAAAGTGGGGTGGCTGGCTACTTAAGCAGGAG